GTACACAATTTTTTGTACACTCTGAAAAACAGTTCAGCGTCTCATAAAGTATATATATATATATTTTATATATATTTATATGATCATATATGTATATGATCTAGCCATCCCACTCCTGGTTATTCCCCCAAGAGAAAGTCTCTTACATAAGTTGGAAGGTAATTGAGTAAGGAAGGACTGGATACATGCTTGGTGAAGACCATCCTCATAGGAATAGAGAAATTGAGCTAGGACAATGAATTTGAGTTATTGGACATTATTGGCCATTGCAAAATGTCAGGATTGCTCTCGGGGAAGCTTGCTAAAAAATAAAAATTCTGTTTCAGCAGTTCTGAGCTGGGACTCAGGAATCTACATGTTAATATTGGTGGCCTTGAAAAACATCCTCTAAAAAGGAGCATTAGCTTAAGAAAAGTAAATCAACCAGTAAGAAGACTATGGGAAGTATCCACATGGAATGTAGAAAGGATCTTAACTGGGACTAGCTGTAGAAATATAAAGTAAGGACTAATCTTTGAAATTACTGAAAAGGTATAACTAGCAGAAATTAATGACTAATATAGAAATAAGTATTACTGAAGATGATCCAGACATTTTAGCTCTGAGTTGCTGCATAGTGACAGGACCACACAGTTTGAAAAGCTGGGCAGAACACATTTATTAAAAACACTTGAGATCAGGCTGTGACTTCTAACCTTGAAAGACTTTCACATGGAAATAGGTGACAGTGCTGGTTCAGGAGGTGGGTAGAGATGGATTTTAGAGACAGGGGCATAAAGATGATAGTTGACACTATGGAGAAATGCATTATATCACCAGTAGGGAAAAAAAAATGCTTACAAGAAAGTGGTTTAAGGTCCCTTAGGATCCACTTACCATATTTTAAATGAGCCTGGAACAATGAGTCAACAAAGGAAACTGAACAGATCATTCAAGAAAGAGGAGCATGGAGCATAAATAGAAGAGTGCACTTCACAGTTTACAATGAACTGCCATGAGGGTTTCACAGATAGGCATTGTAATTTTGTGCAAGCTAGGGAAAAGTGATTATGTGATTTCACCAAGGTCAAGTGAATAATTTGTATGATCTGCTCAGATGTCAAGTAACTCTCCTGAAGGTTCAGTATTCTTTTCTTTGGGGATGCTGAACACGTATTGTACTAATTACAGAGTATAGCACTATTGCCCTATGAAATAATTAAAGCTTATCAATTTTTTAAAAATAACCGGGAGTGCCTGGGTGGCTCAGTCGGTTGAGCAACTGACTCTTGGTTTCTGCTAGGGTCATGACCTCATTGGTCATCGGATCAAGCTGTGCAGGGCTCCCCACTCACTGGAGAGTCTGCTTGAGAGATTCTTTCCCTCTGCCCCTCCCCCCTCAAATAAATAAATAAATCTCTAAAAAATAAAAATAACCAGACTTATTGTGGTGATAATTTTGCAATATATATAAATGTTGAAACCTTATACTGTACACATGAAACTGATAATACTGTATATCAGTTATACCTCAATCATAAAAAAGAAATCAAATGGTATCAGATAGGAACCAGTGTAGCTGATGAAAACAAATGAAGCTAGTTGGGTGTAAAACAATAGGGAGTAGTAGGGTCCAGAAAAAAAATAAACAGGATTCTTTTTTGCCATGTACATGACTACTACAATAGTAATCACCTGTTTATGTCATTGGCTCCCTCTGTATTGCAGGTGGGATTAGGCATAGCTTTGAATTTTTTTCAGTGAAAAAATGAGATTCTAAATAGAATGATACTTTGCTTAATTTGTTGAGATCTCTAGTTAAAAAGGGTGGTTTTAAATAAACATATTCCTAACTATTCCTCTGCCATTAATATTTAACCTAGGAAATTCATCCCCAGGAGAAGTAATTTTACTGGTTTTATACTTGCAGATAATTCTGTGTGATACTTTGAAGAATATTTGTGTGAGAATATGAATTGGAAAAATGTCAGTAAGGCAAGAAAACATTTCATTTTTAAGATAACATTTCTCTCTCTTTTTTAGTATCAAACAAATGAAATGATCTACCTGAGGTTCAGAGCTTATGCTTTTTTTTTTTTTTGCTGTATTATTAAACTATTTTAAATAAATAGTTTTGCCTACCCTTAGGATAACATTTAGACAGCCTTTTTGTTTCCTTTATTGCAGTGTGAGCTGAGTCAGAAAAGGAAAAAGGTTTTCAACACTGAGTCAATGGGCAACTCAGAGACATGGTCACATCCTTCTCATGACTTTAACTTCCCTAATACCATCTCAGTTGCAACAACAGCAGCATGCAAATGTATTGGAATTGAGTGATTACATTAATCTCTTCAAGCTCATTTATTTTGACTGTAAAACATCAGGGTCTACATTGGTCTACATTTACTTAGTAGTGCTGGTCAAGAAAATTTGCAGGTCATATGGTTATAGCAATGGAATATTTAGCTATTTTCTAACAAAGTGCAATTCCGTGCAAAGGATCTTGGTGATTCAGAGTTTCCAAAGAGTCAAATCAATTTTTCAATATAGACACAAGTGTTTTTATAAGATTTTGTGTGTTCATTCAGCTACCCCCCAAGAAAATTCTGGGTTGTAAAATTGCAAGAATATAGTGTATTATCTTTGATGTCTTTGGTGGTAAATCAACCCAAATGAGATTTGAATAAATGGAGTGGAATCTCTGTGCATGCATGCAATGGGAAGAAAATGATGGCAATTATAAGAACTGTAGATTTCATTGGGTGTGAATAGATATTCAGCTACATAGTAATTAGGTGACTGTTATGGAGCCTGGAGCTGTAGTAGCAGGAATTCAAAGAAGGCAAGCTGTTTTGCTCTAAAAATAAATCAAAAGAATTTATTGAAACTATCAATAAAGAAATAGTTTAGTTAAGCTGAATGGAAGTAAATTTGCATTTTTAAATATTTAAATTCACATTGATGGATCTATCCATGCTGTATGAAAATTATGTAAATAACATGTTTCCCTATTTTGCTTTAACTATACTGCCTTGTCTGAGTACTGTCTAGCTAAATTTTTCATCAGTATTTTTTTGGTAACTTTCATTCTCATTTTAACACTTCATTGTGAACATCAATTAACACTTCTCTGTGCCTTTTCAGTATAAGCTGCCTTTTTCTTTTGTTTTCCTAACTCATTACCAAAATATTTTTCAACCTTTTATTCTTGTATATTCTTTTTTTTTTAAATATTTCTTGTCTACTTACCTTCAGAGTGCTTTCAATATGACCAATAAGATTCAAAGAGTATTTAAAAACATCCAGTAAAGTTTAACAGTGAAGATAGTTACATCGGCAATTATAGACATGAATAAGAGTGGATAGATATCCAAAGCACTCGGGGAGCTTGGAGTTAAGGAAGAAGGGGAAGAAGGACAGAAGCATGCAGGTGATGTTGGGTTGGTAGGTGGTGTGGAGTAAGGGGAAAAGCTCCTGAATTTGTTAGAAAATTCAGGTTCTGTTCCATTTGTGTTACCAGTAAGCAGTCTGTTCTAGGATGGGGCACCACCCTTGTTTCTTAATTTCCTATCTGGTTAATGAAGAGGTCTGACTTTAAGGTCTCTTCCAGCTCTAGAACTTCATGATTGATTGCAAAGACTTAACTATGTAAATATAACATAGTCTTATTAAGCAGTTGTTTTACATGGGGTTTAGCTGGTTTTCTTTTAATTGCTGACACTCACAACAGGTTTCTTTTTGGGATAATTTAGTAACCATTAGTTAGACGTGCCATTGTTGACGGTACATCGAGAATGAGCCAATAAAGGATTACCTTGAGTTACAGCGATGGTGAAGTCAGCATTACGTCCAAGTGTCTCGTTAAATGGGGATGGCATCAACTATTATTCAAAATAATGCGTTGAGTTAAAGGGCTCCTTCCTAACAGATTACAAAGTGTGAATGTGTTAACAATATGAGTCAATGTTTGAGTTACTTCTCTACTCTTTGACTGAGTAGATTGTTAGACCACATGCATGTTAAGCATAGTATAATACAGAAAATCAGTTACAGCATCCTCCAGTAGAGTACAGGGTGAAGCTATTAAACATTTCATCAGGAAATTGCAAAGTACTACTGTAAAGTTCTTTATTGTTGGGAAGCCGTCATTTCTATAGTACTTACTTGTAAAAATCTACCATGGCAAGTTTCACAGCAGCCTCATTAACACTGAGCATTACTGAAACCATTTGGTGGAGGAGACAGTTTGGGGGGTGATAATAAGGAATAAAAACCAAATATTGTCATGGGAAGACTGCCTGTGCCATCTCTACTGTTAAAATCTACTCATGGGGCGCCTGGGTGGCTCAGTTGGTTAAGCAACTGCCTTCGGCTCGGGTCATGATCCTGGAGTCCCGGGATCGAGTCCCGCATTGGGCTCCCTGCTCAGCAGGGAGTCTGCTTCTCCCTCTCCTGCTCCCCCCTCTTGTGCTCTTTCTCTCTCTCACTCTCTCTCTCAAATAAATAAATAAAATCTTAAAAAAAAAAAAAATCTACTCATGATGCTAAGAAGAAAAAAATTTTCTCCCTCTATTTTTAAGATGCATCTTCCTTTCTTTAGACTTTCATTCTGCTTAAAATATAGAATATACATAGTCTCATCACATTTTCTTTCAAGGTACATTTGGAATTACTTGAAAAGCGCAGTAGGTAGATGGTGTTCAAATGATCATCTCTAGTGAAATTCATCTTCAAAGACAGAATTTGGAACTAAAAGAGGGGGGCTGAGGAGACAGCTGGTGTTTAGAGTGCCCACAGAACCTCAGCATTAACTTTTAGAACAGGAGGACTCAAGGCCTTGGCAGCATCCCAAAACTCAACCATTTTCATTGATTGGTGTGAATCATTTTCTCTCTCTGTTGCCTGTACTTTTTCCACCAGGCACACCACTTATGTGCCAACAAATCTGCTGTTGACCTTCCCATAGCTCTGTGCTGGGATGCCTACCACGGTGTTTCTAATCCTTGTCAATTTCTTTCCAGACAGAGCTTTTTGTACATGCCTTCAAGGATCAGCTGGTCAGAAGTGCTCTCTTAGCCCTCTACACTGCCAGACCAGGAGGTGTCCTGAAGAAACCACCATCTCCTAAGAACAGCACAGAGGAGAGCTGTCCCCAGGACCCACCCCCACCGATGAAAAGGCAGGACTCCATACCACATCATTCAGACTATGATGAGGAAGAGTGGGTAAGCCTCATGCACATCACTTGCCTCCTAATGTTTAGTCCTGAAAAGGAAAGCAAGAAAGATGAGACATCCCTGCTTTTCATCAAAACAAGTAGGGAAGTAGTCATAATACAGACTGTGGATAAATAGGGCACTTTTTTCCTTGGGGGCAAATTATAAATGTGAGTTTTATTCCTGATCACATTCATTTAGCATAAAAATTTATATATATATATTTGGATATATATACACACACACATATATATATCTCCAAAATGTCATAAAAGCAAAAATGCCACAATTACAGGATTCTATAATACTTTTCTGTATTTATTGCCAAGGTATTATAAACCATTAAAATTGTGTTAGAAAAAGAGTCAGAAAATCACTCATAATCCACTACTTGTTGCAAATATTTTCTTGTTGCAATCTAGTGTTTCAGTTCTAGACATACTTCAAGAAGTATTAGCATTTCAGTGGCAGTGGATATAGAGATGTCTTAAATCCTTCTTGTTCATGATTCTATTATTTAAAACAAGATGTTGTTCCAGGTGCTCTAAAATTGGCAAAAGGATGGCTACATAAAAGCATCTGAAAAAACAGCTAGTAAAGGCAAAACACACACACACACACACACACCAAGAAGAAGCCACCATGGTAATAAGAACTCTAGCTGGATAGAATAAGATAAGAAAAACATGAAGGTTCTGGGCAAAGGGGAACAGTGTTATTCCTGAATAAACACATATTGATTATCCAGGAACTATCCAAAGTATGTGCACATAACACACAGAGAAGGAAACTCTTTACTGTATCACGAGTTTAACCAAGAAAAGTGTATTCTAGCCATATAGATGGTAAATAGTTAATTACTACTTTTTTCTGCCACCCTAGAATTTAAGAGCGTTTGGAGAGTAAATTATTTGAAAGGCGTGGCTCTCTAAAAAAATTTTGCTATCTGAAGGGCTGGGAAGTGATGCCTGCTCTTTGTTTAGATAAAATTTCTATCACAGGAAAGACAGAGCTGCGTTCCAAGAGGTAAATGCTGAATAAGTATTTGTTGCTGCTGATTAAGATTACGTTTCTCCCACTGAAGCGTTTTCAAAAGAGCAAATCTAATATTTCTCCCCTTTACCTTCACCTTCTTCTTCAATTTATTCACAGCTCCAAGGCGTATGTACCTCTTAACCTCTCTGAAGTTCAATTTTCTCAACTATAAAGTGAAAATAACAGCCCCTGTTCTGTTTAGCTCTTCAGGTGGTCACGAGATAAATGACTTACTTGTGCAATAAGGGCCCCATTACCTGGAAAGGCCTAGGCAAATGCTTTGTATTAATTTAGTATTATTCCTATATGTTGTCTTTTTTAAGATGCATACATTAAATGATCTTATGATGGGGATTAATACTATCCCTTGAGGTAAATGGGGAGACTGGATCTAGCATAAAATGTGTATTGGGAATTTTAAAGAGTTTGAGTAGGTATAGGAAATAACTTGTATTTCATTTAATTAAACATACAGTGTTAACCTTGTGACAAATAATTTCCATTTTTATGTTAAATGAAGTGAGAATTTTGAAATTGGGTATCTTTTGTTTTGATCATTTTCACCTCGTGGTCATGTAAATCCTCCCCCACACCTTGCTGCTTTCCTGCTGCTCAAAAGTGTCCCTCTTCTGCCCTCCCTCCTTATTTCCTTTTCTTTAGATAATTTTTGAGACCTTCTATATTGTAGGTGCTCCAAATGGGAAGGTTAAGTGACACTAGATCCTTAGGGTCTAGAAGGCAGAGTCTCATAGTGGATAAAACATGTTAGCAAATAGTTACACAATGTTGTGGCCAAGGTTGGAGAGCGCCAGGTGGTAGAAAATAGGCTCTGCTAATACGACTTCCACTCAAGATTGTATGTACAGACGCTTTCATGAGGGGAAGAGAAGGAAGAGCGTGAGAGATGGGCGGTGGGCTGACAAGGTTTTTGTGGTGAGCCGTTCTGTGTTCCTGTGCATCTGCTCTGCCTGGTTCACTGTGCCCCATGCTAGAGACAGAAACACCCGGGGACGCAGGGGACTCCACGGCCTGTTCAGGGTTCTAGAAAGACAAGTGACAACTGCAGAGCAACTTGGGGTTGTACGTGGGATAAAGCTGGCAGGAGGCTGGTGGTCATGTGGATTCCCAGAAGTAAAATTCTTAAGACGTAGAAGGGAAAAGAAAGTTAACCCTTCAAGAAAGAGAATGACTTTCAGACAGGCACACAGCAGCTGACATAGAAGGAGAGAGAGTGTGTGTGTGTGTGATTATTATCATTAGTTGTTTCTTTGTTTTGCTTCAAAGATGGTGAAAATTGAGCATGTTTATACTCCAAAAACTATTTGAGAAGCAGATAGGTGATGACTGGGTAGAGTGAGGCCCTTTCTCCGGAGAGAGGAGATGATTCTAGCACACAGGTAGAGCAGTCCTGGGCAAAGTGGGCTTATCTGCTGAGACTGCAGGGAGACTGTAAAGATCAGCTTCACTTTTGGGAGGCTGGGTGAGGCTGGATGGCTTCTTTTATGTTTGTTTAAAATATTTTCCCAGTTGTATTGAGATACAGCCGACATATAACACTGTATTAGTTTAAGGTGTACATGATAATGATTTGGGAAATCATTACCATAATAAATTTAATTAACATACATCACCTCACATAGTTGAATTATTTTTCTATGAGAACCTTTATCATCTATTCTCTTCACAACTTTAAATATACAATACAGTGTTGTAGTGACTATAGTCACCACACTGTACGTTACCTCCCCATGACTTATTACCTTATAACTGCAAGTTCATACCTTTTGACCCCCTTCACCTATTTTTCCCAACTCCTACCCTCAGCTCTGACAACCATCAGTGTGTTCTCTTTTTCTATGAGTTTGTTTTTTCTTTGTTTGTTTTTAGATTCTATATATAAATGAGGTCATACAGTATTTGTCTTTCCCCATCTGACTTATGTTCACTGAGCTTAATGCCTTCAGGGTCCATCCATGTTCTTGCAAATGGCAGGATTTCTTTCTTTTTATGGCTAAATGATATTCCACATATATACCACATTTTCTTTGTACATTCTTCTGTCAGTAGATACTCAGGTTGCTTCCATATCTTGGTTATTGTAAATAATGCTGCAATGAATATGAGGGTGCAGATACCTCCTTGAGATCGTGATTTCATCTCCTTCAGGCATATACATACTTAAAAGTGGAATTGCTGGATCATATGGCTGTTCTATGTTTAGTTTTTTTAGGGACCTCCACACTGTTTTTCAGTGTGTTTCTGCACCAGTTTACATTCCCACAACAGTACATAGGATTCTCTTTTTTCCACATCCACATCAGCATTTGTTATCTCTTGTCTTTTTGTTGATAACCATTCTAACAGGTATGAGGTGATATCTCATTTTACTTTGGATTTGTATTTCCCTGATGATGAGTGATGTTGAGCGCTTTGCCATGTACCTGTTGGCTCTTGGTGTGTCTTCTTTGGAAAGATGTCTATTCACTTCCTCTGGCCACTTTTTAAATTTTTTTCCATTGAGTTGTATGAGTTCTTAATGTAGTTTGGATATTAACCTGAGTGCTTTATTTTATCCTTAAAATAGAGTTATGTGCATAGAGAAGGGGAAGAGGAGAATAGGCTGAGGAGAGGGGTAAAAGTTTCAAATAGGCACCAAAGAAAATAGGTAGAGGCCCTTAACTAGCAACATTTGGAAAAATTAGAATCCTGGTCCTCGTGAAGGACCAGTCAAGGTTGCAGTAGGAGTCTGTGTGGTTATTAGTTTACCCTTTATTATTCTTTTGGGAATACTTTCCTAGTCTTGACACTAGGAAAAAGTCATACTGATTTGTTCTTCCAATTAATGTGGAAGGGTCCTGTGAGTTTCTCAGCTGTTTTGGTTTCCTTCACAGGCAAAAGGGTAGGATAATAATAAAGATCTGCATCTCCCTCTTTATCTTCTTTCATATTATTTCTGAATTTCCTCCAGAACCCGCTTTTGCTAGAAGGTATGAATACTTTGTCTAAATTTACCACAATTACAAGGAAAATCCTTCCCACTCAGAAAAGTTGCTTCTCTCTCCTCCTAATATAATTTGACTCTGTGTACAAATGTAACTAACTTTGATTGTTACATAACATTCTAACTGATTTTCCATAGCAGCCACTTTCTACTAAAAAGATACCTTGGTTAAAAGATAGAAATCCCTTACTTAAAAATAAATTTACCGAAGTCATAACCATTTAACGTTATTTTCAAAGCTTTATCTAACTTTGAAAAGTTGAGTAAATCCAAAGAAAATGTAGCTAATTGAAAATGCCTTTAGGGCACCTGGGTGGCTCAGTTGGTTAAGCGACTGCCTTTGGCTTAGGTCATGATCCTGGAATCCCGGGGTCAAGTCCCACATCCGGCTCCCTGTTCAGCGGGAAGTCTGCTTCTCCCTCTGACCCTCTTCCCTGCCGTGCTCTCTGTCTCTCATTCTCTGTCTCTCAAATAAATAAATAAAATCTTTAAAAAAAAAAAAAAGAAAGAAAATGCCTTTAGAGACAGTGCTATTAAATGAATTGGAAACATAACTTTGTGTACCACTTTTCTTAGTTAATTAGGTGTTAGAAAAGTTTCAGCTCTGATTACATGTTTAATCAACTTTCTGAAATAATTCAGTGTTTTAAGTTAATTTAGTTAGGTTTCTGTGGTATATGAAAGTATTCTCTGATCATTTAAGTTGGTTTAGATTTGCACATAAGATTACAGTAGCTCCATTTAAAAAAAAAACATTATTTGTTTTATTTAATGTCTTACAATGATTGTAGTTTAAACAATCACTTAACTTGAACAACTATCTTTAGCCTCTTATAATAAATGTTGGAAAGTAAATATATACTTGTAAATTACTCTTGAATTCTGCTCTGTTCATATAAAAACCTTTCTCTCTGAGGTTAAGAGAAAGAATTTCTATTAATTCTAAATCAGTGTAAAGCTGTTCTCTTTTCAA